TTTCGGATAAATTGGAAATTTTGATATTTCTAAAAAGAAATCTTCGATATATTAATGTTAAATATTATTTTAAATATTTATTTAAATTTCATAATATAATTGTTTATTACTTATAAGTTATTATGTATATAAATTAATGTTGTTACTTATTATATAAAAGTGATTTATAATAAAAATATTTTATATATTTTTAGGCAATAGAATTGAATATAAACTATAACTGATCATTATAATATATTTAAATGACATAAGTTATGGTATAATTAAATTATAGATGTTATACTAATAATAAGTATATTACAAATTAAAACTATTGGTATCTTTACAGAATACAAAATTAGATATGATATCGGATCGGTTATCGGCCGATATTAATTTAATATCTGGAATATCGGATCGGATCGGCCTCCAAAAAGTGATATCGGTATACCCCTAACGGCTACTATAAAAAATCGCCTAAATGAAAGGATAGCAACATTAGAATCGATTCACTAATTCAATTGAAACAATACTGAGATGACTATCCCCGAAGATCAGAGCGAGTGTATGAGATAAAGAAGAAATACAAACATAAAAATAATGCTCAAAAAATATGTGAATTATTTATTGAATGCTTATACGCTGATAGATTTTTTTTATATAGTGACAAATAATATATAATTTTGCCCAAGATTTTTGTTGTAATATTATGTATATGTTTTTTGGGGGTTAATTGATTGTTGGATGTAATATATTTTTAAATGAAAAAGAGGAAAACTAGATAATTTATTTTTAATATTTTTTTTATTTTACCATTGATTTTGTTTATGTATTTTTGTTGCGATATTTTTTTTAATAATATATTGATTATTTTTAACATAGAATATTAATTTTTTTTTGTATCGCGAATTTAAAATAAAGAAGTTATAGAATTTAAAATGTGTCTGGAAAAAGTATTTTAAAGGAAACTAAATAAAATAAGTTATAAAACTAAATAAAGGAGAAGTTATAAAAATATACTTTTAGGATTGCAACTGAATTAAATATAAACTATAACTGATCATTATAATATATTTAAAAAGAAACCTTAAGATATATTGAAATCATATAGTGGGGAAATTGGGCTTACCATAAACCTAAATAAAACAGTTATTATGCATTCTCAATGGGCAGTAATAGATTCAAATCATACCATGGAATTGTTAGGAATAAGATCGGTAATTGAATTCAAATACCTCGGAGTAAATCTAGACAATAAAGGTCATATAAAAAATGAGGTATTGAAATGAGACTGAAGCATGCGAAATTTGTTTTTTATAAATATTTCAAATATTCGTGAAAAGCAGGGACCCGAACCGTTATTTATAACAGTTCAGTATGTAAAAAATTATAATGGTTACGTTTTGGTTACGGTTCTTTAGAAAAAATTTACAAAGGTTCGGTTCAGCTAATATTATAAAGGTTCATTAAGGTTAGAATTTTTTTTTATTGAAGCAACACTATGGTCTAATTTATTTTTATTATAAGCATCTATGAATTATATTAAAAAAATATATAAGATTCAAAATAACTTTTTAAATATATTATAAGTAATATATTTTCTAATATAGATGGATTCATATTTGTTTATTGTAACGATAACACAAATTTCACCCCCGAAAAGGCCCTTTCTACAGAAACTTGTGTTGCGGGAACCATCAGTACTATAAGAGCAAGTTTATATAATTCTGGATATTCAAATTTTTTTGATTCCTAAAATATAAAAACTGAACCGGTTTACCTTTTTTTATAAGGGTTCTTTTTACTCCTTCAAGAATTAATTATATCGGTTCGTTTACGGTTCTGTATTTATAACAGTTTATAATGGTTTAACGGTTCGTTACGGTTCACTCCGGGTCTCTGAAAAGTCGACTTCAAATGTTTAATTCAATGATCATTCCCATTTTTCTGTACGGAAGTGATACTTGGGACATTAACAAAACACAAACTAAAAAACTTCAGGTTTTTGTAAATAGATGTCTGAGATTTATAAATGGCTACATGTATCTTAGAGTCATATATAACGATGGTTTATGGAGACTATCAAAGCATACCTCAGTATCACTAAGGAAAACAAGATTTCAGTTGTATGCACATATGAGGAATTCTGAGAATAACCTGACTTATGAAGCCCTTAGCTTGTTTCCGGTAAATAAGAACAAAAGATATTGTAATTACAAGACTTATTGGCTGAACAAAACTATAATGGATATCCTAAATATGAATATAAGCCTAACACCAATAATAATAAAAGCTCTATAAATAAATTAATTAAAATAAAAACCAATTATCTCACATAAAACATTAGTTTTCCTTATGTAAATATTCCTTCTTTTGGAGGTTGAGTTATTTTCATTCTTTCAACCGGAGTTTACAACACCTTTCCCCAGTATTTGCTCCACTTAACCAGTTTCGGGTTATATTATTCCAATAAATACCTAGAGCTCGGCATTTTGGCCTGTATATGTAAACTATGGTCTTTTTATTTTAACAAATTATAAAATTTGCCGAGTCATATATATTCTTGCAGCCAGTCTTATACACACTTGATTTGTATTTAATACCCATATTTCCTCCTCTTCCCTTTATTTCTATTAATTCGACTATTTATATATTCTATCCCACTTATTACAGACCTAGCACTTTTACAGTTTAAGTTACAAAATTATTATTCTGTACTTTACTATTACATACTTATTACTATGTTTATTTATATTTATATTTAACGTACAAATTCATCTTAAATAAATATATTTTGTATAAGTTTATTAGTAGATGATTATATTTATATTTAATTTAATTTTTGATAGGAGGTTCGGTTCTTTCTGGTATGATGGTTATTAAATATAGAATGGGATTATCTTCAAAGTTGGATATAAATAACTAGTATTATTGATAAGTGATTGTACTGTATATGTACTGGTATTTTTATTTTATTTAAATATGTTTATTTCTAGGTTCTTACAATGTTAATTAAAAGTAAAATTAACATAGCCAATATAATATATAAAAAATTTTATTTAAACGGGCATAAGCTTTCTCTCCTCTTATTTCTTATGGGCGTTTAGGTAAATGGCTTTGTCTCTTGCGCGCATAGGTAACTGCGGCTTGCCCAAAAAACGTGGATGGTCCTGTTAATTATTTCCCAACTTTTATCCCGGTTTAATGGGCTTTTCATGAGAGAAACAAGAGTTGCTCTGTTGTATATATAACTGTTATATATATGCGTTTAGGGCTAGTGTGCTTAATATCGCGTAAAATCATAAATATGAAATAATTAGAGACTTGCAAAATCGGTTTTCAGCCTACGTCCGCCCGAGGCCTAGTAGTTAAATCTTTTTGATCTAGTCCCAGCCAAATTTTTTCAAAAAGAAATAAACTTAAGATATATTTTTTCTAAAAAACTTTTTTTTTCAATATCAAAATAAAACCAGAACAAAAAATATGCTAATTATTTTAAAAATCTCAAAAAATTAAATTAAATAAACCCAATCCATCAAAGTTAGCAAGTTATAAAATGATCGTGATAATATATTTCTAAAAAAATTTTGATAAAATATATTTAGGATGATTGTGAAAAATAAATTTACAATAAAATTGGTGGATTTTATTTTCCATAGGATTGTAGTGAAATTTTTTTAAACCAACAAAAAAGCTTTTATCATCCCGTATTTTAATGTTATGCATTAAATATAAATATTCATCAATAACTTTGAAATTTAATAAGGATAAATTAATTTTATTAGAATTTGAAGTTTTTTTATGAAAAATATAATTAATATTTATGTTAAAAAACGTGTTTTGATTTTAAATTGTTTTTGCTAATAAATTTATTTTTATATTAAAAATGTAAACGTTTTAATTGCAATTTTTTATTTTTACATTTAATTTGATAACATTTATTTTATTGTTAAAATTTAAGGTTTTTAATGATAAATATATAATATAAAAACGTTTTTTGTACATTAAATTTAAAAATAAGGTATTTTACTAAAAAAAAATGTTTAATATTGCTATCCAGATTGTCTAAATATTGGGTTGTTGTTTTTAAATATTGAGCCTCTTTTTACTTTCAAATAGTATTAATAGGAATTTGATAGGAACTCAATTGAAATATCAAGAGCCCAAATTAGACAAGTTTTACTGTATTTAAATAGAATACCGATTTTTTTTTCCCACATAATTTTAATAATCGCAATATGATTATTATAAATCCATTATGTTTATTATTAAATTTTTTCCTAAATTTTATAATATCTTCTCTAGGAAATTTATTTAATTAAAAAGAATTAATTTTATAAGTTTTTTGGAAGGAGGACCTTTTATATTCTTATATTCTACTTCTTTCATTGCTATACTCATTACTACACTTATGTATATGGCTCGGGTATTGTTCCACCCTCATATAACTTCATATCTGGGTTACAAGGTTTGTTGGTATCCATGAAAAAAAAAATCGGCATAATTATATGGAGGATGGGCCTTCATATAATTCACATACGCTCACCTTTGGATAGGTCTATGACCAAAGTGCTAATAAAGATAAAAATAAATTACAATGTAATTTATATAAAAAAATATGTAATATTAAATTATTCCTTTGATCGTTTAAGGATAATAATATAGATATTTAGTATGAAAATTTAAGGACGATATCATGTAAAATTAAGTAATATTAAATTATTTCTTTTAAAGACAATAGTCCTGATTTTTAGTATGAAATTTAAGGACGATATTATATTATTAAGGAATATTTAAATATATGCCATTTAATAATGTATTACTATTTTCTATATATGATTTTAAAATGAATATTTTTCACTTCCTAATTTTTTTAAAAATTTCATTTTAAAAAGGGAGAATAGGAAAGAAAATATTTTTTCGGGCCACCGACAGTCTATATTTTATTAATGTTACCCTGTACATGGGCCAGTCTTGAGGACTTTAAAAACCTTATCAAAATATATTTTTTTTAAAAAAACCTGTTCTTGTCTACCTGTACATTGAAATAATAAAACTTCAAACAATTTCAAAGCATGTAATTCCATATCATCATCATGTTCTGGGTCGCTTATTACCTATTAAAGATTTGAAATAGAAATTTAGAATGAATACAGTTTAAAAATAATGCATTTAAACAGTATTTTATATTATGCTATATATAGAATAAGAGCAAAAGAAATTACATTTTGACACATGGCGAACGTAATTTGCAGCCTGGATGGGTCACTTAAAAATGACTCGGTGTCATTCGTTATAAAATTATGCCAAATAGAGAGCATTTCTATGTTTTAATAAATAATAAGGACGATTTTATATGGTATAGAAATATTATACAATTTTCTGAATCGATAAAAATTTTTAAAACACGAAAATCACGGTATTATATAATTTAAATTTAGCTACGGCATTACTAATGGCGTTCCTATCATCGAGGCACCCACTAGTAATGAGATATTTTCTGAAAAAAATATTTTTAAAAAACCTGTAAAAAAAGATTCTTTGTCCTTCAAAAATATTCCATAAAGGATAGGTAACAAACTCCAAGCATTTGTAGGAATAATGTGACAGGTTAATGCATAACATATCGATATTAATTCGTCATAAAAATCTTAAAAAAAATATGTTTAATAAATATAATTTTTTTTAAATAAAATATAAAAAAATGTACAAAATATACAAAGAGTATATAAAAGGATAATTATATATAAAAAAAATTTTGACATTTTGTTTTCGCCTTAAATAATTTTTATTAGTGTGAGAAGTACAATTTTTTATGCAATTTTTTAAGTGTTGTCATAAAAAATTGTTTGCTCAAATATAAAATATTTACGCCTTTTAATTATAATTATACACGCTGAGTGATTACTCTGTATTCTAATGAAGTATTCAGAGTGATTTAAAATAATTCAACCTAAAATAATTGTTTGTAACAATTCAATATTTCATTTTAGCAAAATAAAATAATATATACACACCTTCATCGTAGTCTTCAGAATGGAATTTATTTAATACTAAATTTACGATTTCCATAACGGTATCACTTACCATATTAATTGCCTGAATTTTATTTTTTGAAATCAAAAATATTTCAGATTAAAATGTTAAACAATTTATGTAAAATATATAGATTAAAATATGATTTATCATTATAATTATAAAATGATTCATCATTATAATGGTAAAGTTATTCAATTGCGAATCTAATATGTATCTATGTAAGCTATAAGTGATGGTTTTCCTATCTTCTTAATGTTAATTCATTTTATTTATCAACTTTTCTATCATTTTAATGTTATAAAATTGAGGGAGACTATATAACCTAATGTTAAATTTTCTATCTATCCGCCCGGCCCGACCAAATCGAGTTCGGAATCGGTTTTTGATTGAGATCTGACTTCAGAAAAGAAATTTTTTGCAAACGACAGGATTTGAACCTGTGCCCCCTACCGCCCTGAAGGCAAAGGTTCTCGCTATGTACCCTGATGCCTATTATATAATACCAGAATATTTTTATCATATATGAAACCAATGTAATACTTTTTCATTAGTTTATTTTTCTTTTATAAATATTTTTTGCCCATATCCGCTTTATCTGATATAATTAATTGGATTAATTTTCTTTCAATTTTTGGATCTTTTATTACATATATTTATTACAGAATTTATTTTAATTTATTTTACTATTTTTAAATTTTTTTATTGAAAGATATTTTAATTATCGAAAACAAATTGCTTGTTAATTTTTATATATATTTTTTTTAATATTTATTATCTAAAATAATGGTTATTAATTTTCAAACATATTTTTTGTAAAAAAATATTAGCTCTTAATTAATTTTAAGCATATATTTTGTCTTTATAATATGATTAGATGGATGGGATAAAATTTAAATAAAGGGCAGAGCAATCGGGTAAAAAATAAACAGGAATTGAAGAGATGCCTTGAAGATTTGTACCAATATTTTTGATTTAGCTTGCATACTTTTATGAATATAAAATTTCTTTAACAAAGAATTATTTCTCGATTCAATTATATAATTTTTATAAGCTTTGTCGGTTATACATATATCTATAATTGTATGTGATGTATCTATGTAAAAATTTGCTATATAACCGTAATTGAAACAAAGTTTAGGTATAAAAACAATATTATTTCTCAAATATATACTTTAAGCATTTATTCCCACTAGAGATGTGCAAAGTTAGGTCCGGCCCGTACCTGGCCCGAACGGGCTTCGGGCCGGGCCTAATTCTTTTTAAAATAATCGAGTTCGGGCCGGGCCTAATATTTTTAAAAGAATTTCGGGCTGGGTTGGGTCGGACCTTAGAAATTTTATTAAATATATCTAAATTTATCAATTTTATATTGAATTTTTTATGTAAAATAAAAAATTTTTGATTTAATTTATTGAAACTAAACGCTATATAACATATGTCTTTTATTTTAAATAATTATAAAAATTAATTTCTATATTTAAATAAATTCGGGCCTGGCCGGGCCGGTAAATTTTTTTAAAATAAATTTCTGGTTCGGGCCGGGTTGGCAAAACTTTTTAAAAAAAATTCGGGCCGGGCCGGGCTTGAAAAATTAGGCCCGATCCAGATCACTAATTCCCACTATGAAAAAAATTATTAAAATTTATAATGAAAAAATAAAATATATATATCAGAGGCCCTCAGGCCCCTATTTTAATTTTTTAAATATATCCTGGCGATTATAAAAAAAAAATTTAAGAAAAACCCGGGCCAGACTGAGCAGAACATTTAGATAGTCATTATCTGTAAAAATTAAAAAAATATATAATATATTTTTAAAAAATCCGGGCTGGACCAGGTCTAAAAATATAAAACCCGGGCGGTGCAGAAATTTTTTTAAAATCCTGGCCGAGCCGTGTAAATGGTATCTATGTAGGTCTATCGTTATTTTTTTGCAAATGCTTAAAATTTTTAGCATTCGACACCAGTGTTATGTAATAATATAATAAAATATTTTCAATTATATTATTATGTTCATTAGAGTATTAATTTTATTCAAAATTTTTTTTATAACAATTTTTTTATATTGGTGATAAATATTCGAATATGATTAATTTGTTCGAACAATTTGATAGATATTGGCGAATGTTATTCGTATAAAGGAAGTATTAGATTGAACTTGTAAAATCGGAGCACTAATTTTTATTATTTAAAAAAAAATATTAAAATTAATATAATTAAGTTGTAAAGCAGCAATGTTACGAAAAAAGATAACCCGCTACCATAATTCGTTACTTATTTTCAACAGTGACGTAATTATCTGTTTTATTAGTAACAATGTAACGACGTTACTTTATGCCACGTTTCTATTCGGCACTACTTAATATAGATGCTATACATTAGAATTATGTGAAATATATAGAAATTCATATTATAAATTAAATATGATAGTTAATAATAACATCTTTATTGTCGTCAAGTAAATCGATAAGGGTTTCAATAATTTCTAAAAGACCACTGACAAACATCCTCACTTCCTCGTCCTCTTTTCTAGAATGGGTAGTATCAAGTATCGAATACTGTTAATAGTTAAATAATTTTTAAAAAAAATAAATAATTTATACAAAAAAATTAAAAATTAAATCAAAAAAAAATTGCTAGAATGGGAGCAGCACCGATTATTAACGTATTAAGTATTGGTCGATTCATATATCCCTATATATATTTTAAAAATAATTTAATTAACTAGAAATTAAAAAATTATACTAAGTGAATTAAAAAATTATTACACGAAGTTATATTTTAATGAATTTAATAATTTGTAAAAAAACCAAAAATCTTAAACCTGACAGCATCTTATAAAAATGAGCCCAAAAATATAATTTCTGATTATTAAATAGACATAACTTTATGTATGAAAGTGATGAATTTAATTTGTACTACTTTCAATTTTAACCAATATCAGTGACCGATAACCAAAAATCGTGATTAACTCTCATCAATTAAAAAAAATTGGCCTGCATTAATCCATGATTTGATAAAAAAAAAAATCCAAAAGATAAGGCGCTGGTAAAATTTTCCTATTAAAGATTTTATTAAAGATCAAAAATTTATGATTTCATCATAAAAGGTTTTTTATACAAAATTCACAAAAAATTTATTTATAAATTATAAATCCTGTTTGAGCGCTTAAAAATCTTCAGAGAACAAAAATCTCCGAAGATTTTTAATTTTAAAGAGCATTTCAAACACTAAACTCTGGAATAAACATACAATAAATTAAATTACTACTATAAGTTAAGTTAATATGAGAGATATTTTTATTGCTTAAATTAATAATCAAAAAATATTTTTATGGGAATGGAGACTAGAAAAATCTTATGTTTCCATGACAATTCTGCGAAACTTCTATCGCGAAATTTAATCTACATTAGCGAATACTATTCCGGGAAACAAATACCGCTAATTTTTTATAGCGAAACCTGTAAAGCGAATACATTTGAACGAAACTTTATCGCGAATCAATAATAGTTAGTGAAAACTATTTCGCGAAGATATTAATATCGTGATAATTGCTAATAGTGACTATTATATTTAGAAAATGTTGATGTTTTAATTTTTGTAAAAAAGTTTTTAATATCACCATTAAAATAAAAATATATTTATCACTATTGAATAATATTTTTAAAAAAATAAGTACATCATTGATGGAGTTTTTAATTTTTTTTAACCTTAATAAATTAATATAATAGTTAATGAACTTAGATTTGGTTTATAAAATTTATTATTGAAATATAATTTTGTCGCTATCCTGTCCAATGCTTTTTTTCGAAGTCTTATTTTATAAGAATCGCGCACAAGGAACTCAGACTTTATTAATATATTAATCAAAGAGTTTAAACCTTGATCCTAACTGAAGAAATTGATATCTGAGTTAGGCCAATTCTGATGAGGACTAAATATATTTATAAATTCATCCATTTGACAGTTACTAACTAAAAGCAAAGTTATAAGCTAAATAAAATATATAAAATTACTTATTAGAATTAGAGATCTGCAAATTTAGGCCCGGCCAGTACCCGAACGAAGCCCTAATTCTATTTAAAATAATCGGGTTCGGGCTGGGCCGGGCCTAATATTTTTTAAAAAAATAGGGCCGGGTCGGGTCGGACCTTGGAAATTTTTTTAAATATATCTAAATTTATCAATTTTATATTGAATTTTTTATGTAAAATAAAAATATTTGATTTTATTAATTGAAACTATTCGACATATAACATATGTCTTTTATTTTGAGAAATTATAAAAATTAATTTCTATATTTAAATAAATTTGGGCCGGGCCGGGTCGGTAAATTTTTTTAAAAAAATTTCGGGTTCGGGCCGGGTTGGCAAAACTTTTTAAAAAATTTCGGGTTCGGGCCGGCAAAACTTTAAAATTTTGGGCCCTGGCTTGAAAAATTAGGCCCGATGCAGATCACTAATTAGAATGTCTTAATCGAATTTTAAATGGCGATTCAAAAAAATATTTCCATCTAAGTAAAATAAGGGAATTCCTAAATTCAAAATATTTTTATATCATTCTTTTATCTTTTTTGTTTACTATTAAAATAATAGTTATATTTTCAAAAAATTTGATAGTAATCTGAATATAATATTAAGACTATTATAAAAAGTCATATCGATCATTATGCAAAAATTATAATTGGGAGGTGTATAAAAAAATATGGCATACATTTTATGAAACTTTTTTAAAATATATTATATTAAGTCGTTATATATAATTTACATTTCAAGTTTTATCTCTGGGTTCCGATAAAGACAACAATTTTTTTTTAAAAAGATTCACTTTCATTATTTACACAACAATTTAGAAAAATCTTAAAAAATTTAAATCAAAAAATTTAATAAAATAATTACTTAACACTATGATTTTTAAAAATAATCTGAGAAAATCAGTTTAATTCTAAGCTTTCAGTTTTTACCTTGATTGGAAAACACAGAATATTTATTAAAATATACTTTTAGTGGCAAAAGGCACATTTTTAAAATATATGTCAGAGGGGGAATTTATTGTGGTAAAAACTTGAACCAAAATGTCTCTGCCGTACCTAAAACTATGAGTGAGAGACAGCAAAGTTAATTTATTTTCTATCACATCGATAAAAGTTACAGTAAGTAACAACTTTTCGCGTTTATGATTTAATGAACTTTAGTAGGTAAATTATATTGAATATATTGTTTTCTTTTAAATAAATAAATTAGAAATATATTTAGTTTCGCGGTCATGCGCTCGCGATAATGACTTTGCACAAATATATTTGCGGTAGAAAATTCGCTATAGAGTTCGCGATAAAAGCTTCGCTAAAATATATTCGCGGAAATAAATTGCCGACATCGGATTAGCTATATTGTCTTCGCTATAAATGTTTGGCGAATTTTAGATTCAATGCTTTATAATGATGTTCTCTGGACATGCAAAATTTATTTAAAATTGAAAAGGTCGGGCAGAAAAGTTCTCAATTTGGTAAAGTGCACAAAAAAGTAAGGGTTAGGGTAGGATATTATTCCGAAAGAGTATAACTAGTTAATTAAAAATAAAATTTGCCAGTTTTTCATATTTTTTATTTTAGCCGATCATTTTTGGGTTAGAATTCATTTGTGAGAAAAAAGTGCTAGCGAAGTTTAAAATAAAAAAATTGTCACTTATGGAATAAATTTTTGGCTCTAGGGGATCGTTGTGAGACTGGCTTATTGATAATGTTCTTTTTAAACATTCAGCATTAATGAGCTCTAAGGTATTGGTATTTACAAAAATATTTAAGTATCGTAGTAAGAAAAATCTGTTATCATTCATCTCTCTATGATTAAATGAAAAAAATTACCAGTAGAGAAATTAAATTAATTTTTAAATTGAGCTTACTTAAACCCTTAAATGATAAACTGGGGTTTACGCCTTAAATATCTTAAACTTGTCATTTCATTTATTAAAGTGTATTTTTACACCTAAGGTGGATATTTGTATTTTGATATACAGGGTTTCCCATTTAAAAAAGGGAAAGTCTAAATCAAAAAAGGAAAAGTTTCAATCATAAAAGGAAAAGGTCTGATCAAAAAGGGAAAAGGGTCAGTCATAAAAGGAAAAGGTTCAATCAAAAAAGGAAAAAGTCCAAACAAAAAAGAAAAAGTGTCAATCAAAAAAGGAAAATTACCAAAAGGAAAGGAAATGTGTCAATCAAAAAAGGAAAATTCCCATTCAAAAAAGAAAAATCGTAATTTTTTGTCAATTTTTATTTATTTTTGTTATTCCTTCAATTTATTTCTGATTTTTGCGATTTCTTTATGTTTTTTTTCTTACTGATCTTTTCTCAATTTATTTCTTACTTTTTGCTATTTTCTTTACTTTTATTTTTCTTACTATATCTTCTCTCAATTTATTTTTCTTCTCATTTTTGATAATTCTTTTGTATTAAGAATTTAAAAATGATTATATTTTATTAATTTACTATCGTTTGGTATTACAGTTCAAACTTATTTAATTTTAAAAAGGTACATTATAACCAAACGATTAATTTAATTTAACAATTGTAATTATATTGTCTGCCAAAAACATTAAATATAATTTTTAAAAATAATTATCAAAAATGAGAAGAAAAAAATTGAGAAATGCTCAATAAAATAAAGATTAAAAATGACTTAAAGAGATTGAAAAGGATAGAAATGTATGTAAAAGATTACAATGGAAAAATCATAAAAAGAATATTGTATGTATGAAAAAAAAAATGGACCTAAATTTATAAATTATTTTTTAAAATACAAAAGAATTATCAAAAATGAGAAGAAAAATAAATTGAGATAAGATATAGTAAGAAAAATAAATTAAGTAAGATATAATCATTCCTTCGCTATTTTTGCTCTTCAATCAACAGACCTCTCACAGGCGCTTTTGCTTTATTATTGGCAGCATTTTTTTTTATACCTATGGCCATCCCCCATGAACGCAAAATCTGCCCATCCTGCATGAAACCAATACATTTAACAAATGATGGAGAATTTTTTGTTCATGGACCAATCTCTAACAGGTGTCCGCATTCAAAACACACGCCTCTTTCTCAGATCACTTACTCGCTTCCCCTCCTAAACCAAGTAATTGGTGCCTCATTCTCAGATATTTTTCTTAACTCCACAAAACCAAGTATCATAACGAGAATACCCAAAGGAGCGAGAATACAAGTAGCTAAATCTCTCAGCAACTGCATATCTTCTCTTTTGCAAAATTTTAACAAAGAAGAAGAATGGTTAAAATTTCTAAACTTCGGGTACAATACTTTCAAAATACCTGACATATCACTCCAAAAATCCTTAACTCAACAAATAAAAGATGCCTGTTTAAACATCAACACTCATCTTCATGAGTCCCAAATCTCCAGACATCCCAAAAACAAAAAAATAATAACCCCACTTCAACAAAAAGCCTCATTGATTTCGAAGAAAATTGACAGTCTTAATATCAAAGGGGCCCTCAAACTCATTTCAACCAATGACACTCTGGCGGAATCCAATTTAGATACCTTAATTAAGTTTCGATCAAAGCATCCCACAACAACATTTATGCCAATATTGCCCCAACCCTACTCCCATTGTACAGCAGACTTCACACAGGAAGAAGTAAGGAAAGCAATCCTATCTTTTCATCGGGATTCGGCTCATGGTCTAGATGGGATTAGACCAATTTTTTTACAGGACATTACCTCTCTTGTGATCTGTACACAGGTTTCAATTCTCACTAAAATCACAAACTTAGTCAACAAAATCCTAAATGGAGACGTACCCAGCTTTATTACCCCCTTACTCTTCGGTGCCAGACTCATCGCACTCCAAAAACCAAATAAGGACATTCGGCCCATCGCCATTGGTTCTACTTACCGTAGATTGGTCGCTAAATTAATCGCATCTAGAATCAAACACGATGCCGCACACATTCTAAGCCCCTACCAACTTGGTGTAGGGATACCTGGTGGGTGTGAAGCTGCTGTGCACTTAACAAGAATTCACCTTGAAAATAACCCAAAAAACGAATCCCTAGTAAAAATTGACTTCTCTAACGCCTACAACACTCTTTCGCGCAACACGTTCCTACATTCAACTTGCTTCCATTTCCCGCTTACACTAAATTTCTTTTCTCTTGCTACCAATCACCAACAATCTTACAATTCAACAAAGAAAAGATACTTTCTGTCGAGAGTATCCAACAGGGTGACCCTCTCGGATCCCTTCTCTTTAGTCTTGGAATCAACGACATGATAAAATCAATAAACTCTTCATGTACTCTATCGCTCCACGCTTGGTATATTGATGATGGAATCTTGAGTGGTCCCTGTAGTGAAATTGCCAAAGCATTCAACATAATTAAAGAAAAGGGCACAGCCATTGGACTTTCGCTTAACCAGAGCAAATCTGAATTCTCACATTTAAATTCTAATGCTCCCAACACTCACGATTTCAAATTCACATCAAGCGTTGAATTAACACATCTAGGATCGCCTGTAGGAGGACACGCGGCAATAAGCACCTTTCTTCATTCCACACTTGACATACTCCTTAAACTGGAGGACATCTTTACACTTCTTCCATCACACAAGTCCTTTTTTTTGCTAAAAAATTTCTTTTTTATACCAAGGATTCTTTACGCACTTCGGTCAACACCAATTTTTAAATATCCTATTCCTCTCCAAACTTACGAAAAAGGAATAAAGGACTTAACCGAAAAAATAGTAAATATCAGATTCAACGAAACCGCTTGGGCCCAAGCAACTCTTCCAACCAAATTTGGTGGTCTCGGCATCAGATCTCCACATGACTTAGCAATAACTACTTTCATATCGAGTAGTCTCTTGACAAAGCTAATAACCACCGCCCATAATTCTAAAGAAGACCTTTCCTTAATCGTGGCTATGGATATTTGGAAAACAAGGATCAATGCTGATTCTCATCCCCCCACAACCCATAGACAGAAAGACTGGGATGCACCAGTGGTTGCTCGCTGCGTTGAAACTCTCTTATCTAGCATGCAATCTACCGACCGCACCCTATTCTCTTCCCTGCTCAATGGTACGGGACATGAGTTTCTTGAGGCCATCCCATCTACCAATCTTCAGCTTCAACTATCCAACAATGAATTTACCCACGCCATCGGCATTCGTCTAAATTGTTCCATCACTCACCCTCACATCTGCTCAGGGTGCAACTCGCCAGTTGACTCGAAGGGTAGACATAGTTTACATTGTCGCTCCTGCAATGGACGATTCATCAGACACAAGCAATGTAATACAATCATCCAACATGCACTGAAATCCGCCCAAATTCCTTCCACTCTAGAACCACAGGGTCTTTTTAGATCTGACGGTAAACGTCCTGATGTGATCTCTCAAATCTCATGGAGGAGAGGCCAACTTTTGGTATGGGACTATTCCTGTATTGACCCCTTGGCCTCATCCAACCATGCCATCAACATCCTTGACCAGAAGGAACAACTTAAAACTTCTAAATACACAGAAATAATGAACGATCATTACTTCATCCCAATCATATCAACCACTCTTGGCACCTTCGGCAAACTCGCCTTAGCATTTTTCAAAAACTTAGGATCACAAATCAGCAAACTCTCAGAAGAACCTCGAGAGGGTTTTTTTCTTCGTCAACGATTATCCATAGCGATTCTCAAAGCTAATTATATCAGTTTCAATGGTAGTCTTCTAGCCAAAGAGCTATCCTAGACAACACTTACGTCCCTTTTTCATTTTTGTTTCCCTGCGTCACACCATCTCCGTTCTTTTTTTTTATAGTATTATTATATATTTTTCAATCATTTTTAATTATATTAAAACATAAAATATTATATTTTCGTTTTTTTTAATACTTTATATTATTTATTATTTGAAAATTGAAAATAAAGGATTTTGAATTAAAAAAAAAAAGTAAGAAAAATAAAAGTTAGGAAAATCGCAAAAAGTAGAAATAAATTGAGAAAAGATCAGTAAGAAATAAAACGTAAAGAAATCGCAAAAATTTAGAAATAAATTTAGAAGGAATAACAAAAATAATTAAAAATTTAAGAAAAATTGACAAAAAATTTTAAAAAATCATTATTTTTGAATGGGAATTTTCCTTTTTTGATTGACACTTTTCCTATTCTTTTGGGAATTTTCCTTTTTCGATTGACACTTTTCCTTTTTTATTGGATCTTTTCCTTTTTATTTTGACACTTTTCCTTTTTTGATTGAACATTTTCCTTTTTTATTTGACACTTATCCTTTTTTGATCGGACTTTTTCCTTTTTTTAGGGAATTTTCCTTTTTTGTTTGGACCTTTTCCTTTTTTGATTGAACCTTTTCCTTTTTTGATCGGACCTTTTCCTTTTATAATAAAAAATTTTCCTTTTTTGATTGGGACATTTCCTTTTTTGAATGGGAAACCCTGTAAAATTATATATTACGTTAAAATTTTATACTTCCAAAAATTAAATTCATTTTAATACTAAGTGAATTGATAATCTTATATTCCCAATAAATTGTAAATTAAGAGTATAACCAAATAAAATCAACAATTTGTTCTGAAAATAAATTTGATTTAATATTATAAAATTTTGGTCCTTGTCTAAAGGAGTTCTGAATATAAATTATAGTGATTTTATTGTCACCATTTTAAAACTTATAACAAATTGAATGCTATTATTTATAATATTCAAGTTTTATATAAATAAATGAGTGAAATTGAAATATACCTCTTTTAAATTCATGCTTTTTTTTTACAAAATTTAGTATATAGACTAAGGTTCGTGTAACCTATAATTGTGCAAACAGTCCCAGCTGATAACTCTTAGAGTTATCCGGGGGAGAAACTTAGTATCGATTTTCATTTAATTAATTATTGATTTAAAACTACATGCTTGTAAATAATAAATTTAAAATTTATTGGGCATTTTTCGCCAGGAGCAGTTTTTGAAAATTTCGTACAAAAAATAGGTCGATTCGATTTCAATAAAATTTTAAATCATCAATATTTTTACATAAAAAAAATTAGAGGCAAATGAGCCCTTATGACATCATAGTAAAATCTATAAAAACTAAACTAGTAAAAAATGAGCAATAATATTTATAAAAAATTACGCATTTTATTTTCTTTTAATAAATGATAATATTTCTATATAGTATTTTCTTAAATAATAAATCATGTAAAAGGTTCCTATCACATCATTTTCAATGCCTGGACCGTGTACGAGACTTCAGAATGAGGGATAAGCTTTCGGATGGGCTGTTCAGATCTTTTACATAAAAATGTCATAGGTTCCTTTATTGATGGATTTCTTTCTATCTTAATCAATAAAAGTATTTATGCAGCTTTAAATATTTGACTCAGCCCGCAAGCTAGACTAGGTTAAAAATTTATGAGCCAGGCAACTCAAAATCTATTTTATGGTACAAACCAATGTTTTAATAAAATTTATCCATTAATTATTTACTATAATTGGATTTTGCTTGCATACTATGCCATGCAGGTCTCCACTAATTAAAATATGGTCTAAATACTTTTATTGATCGTTAATAAAAAGAAATTAATAAATAAAAGAACATGTGCCATATTTTTATGTTTAGGGACCTCACAACCTAATTCAAAGTTTAACCAGCACCCTAAATATACGCCATCTATAGTATAAAAATTTCTTTTACTAGTTTTCATCGATTTTATTAGTGATGTTGTAAAGGTTGATTTCTAATTAAAAAATTGTTTTCATATAAAGGAAATAATGTTTGTTAAAATTTTATCAAAATCGGAGCTACCCATTTTTTATATGATGTTTTTAAATAATATGTGGGCAAAAGATGCCCAAAATTATTTGTATTTATTTTCTAAAAATATTAAGTGTATAATTTATACTAAATTTATTATTTACAAATGTGTAATTTTTAATTAATTAATAATTAAATGAAAATTGGCACTCATAAAAAATTTCATGCTACCACTCCTGACATCTCTAAAAGTATAATTTAGAGGCTCAAATATAGGTTACACGAACCTTAGTTTGTCCTGATCGATTTGACATTGATAGATACAGGGTTATTTATTTTTCACACCACTCAAGGGTCAATTCGTACTTGAATTGAATTAAAATTATACATAAAAAAATTGTATGGTATAACTAAAAACCGTATGTTTCAACATTTCCAATATAAGGGGTTTAACTTGGTCGCTATAAATGCATATAATTTTTTTCAACACTATTGTCATCTCTTCGTTCAAGGTTAGCTTTAAGATGTTTAATAACTCTAGAAATCAAGCATATATAATTTGATATATTTTTAAATGTTATTATTATAAATATCAACTATAAAACTGAAATTATAATTTTTATTACCAGATAAAATTTCCTTAAGACGAGGAATAAGTGCTTCTTTAGCTGAATATTAAATATAAAATTTTTAAAAAAAATTATAATTTTATATAATCATGAAAAAGGTTTTTTTAAAAAATATATTAATTTTTGAAACTCGCTACTAAATATATCTTAAAAACACTAAAAAAATTATTGTTTATACCTATCTTGATGCAACAGTATATTATATATAAAAAATTGAATCTAGCACAACCCATAACCAACATCTAATTAAATTTTACATTTTTAACATCATAAATAGAGCTGTGCCAATATTAAATAAAGAATCGGGGCCGATATTTTGTGTTTTTTTTATTACCAGGGAAACTAATATTTTCAAAAAAGCCAATCCGATCTGATATTTTTATTGTTGGTTATTTTATGATTGTATATCAGAGATGGTAAAAGACATTTTCCAAAAGATTTACAGATACATATTCTAAAAATGGATCTAGATACATCTATAAACGTATTTAATCTACATATAGATACTTTTTAAGTTAAACTTATGTAAAGTGTGGCATAATGCTCAAATTTAGGATTCTGTTGTTAAAATTCAAATTTTAAAGTGAGCTAAAAAATTTATTAAGCTGATACCACTTCTATATACAAATATATAATTACCATAATGATTGTTAGATTTTAATAATTCATATACAAAATATATAATTAAATGATTATAAATAATTGTAATAAAATATTCTCAAAATATCATTAAGGCACCCACGTTATATTGTAAAGACACTTTTAGCCATACTAAACCCTTTATACCAGGACACTTAGCAGTAGATGATTGTAATAATTAATAAAATACAATAAAATAAACACTCATTTTTTTTTTAATTTTTCATAATTTGATAAGTGTCTAAGCATATATCAATATTTATAACATCTAAAGGTTGTCCCAAAAAATCGAATTTAAATTATTTGATTTTTCCAGAAATTGCTTAGATATTTATCTATTAATTATGATACATATTTTTTAAATATAAATAAAATAAGTTATAATATAAAACTTACCATGTTGTTTTCATCCATTGCGTAAAATAAAATTTGTCTGGTTTGCTTTTGTAATGAAATAAACTCGGTCATATTATTAAATGAATTTAATTCAAATAATATTTTTAAAATAAAAAAGCATAATAAAATTGTATCTAAATTTATCAAAAAATAAATACAGATATTTCTTAAATAGTATCTAGGTATTGATACTGATTCTTTCAATATCTAGTGTTATATCAAGTTGCTTTAAAAACTCTTGTATATAAAAATATTTTTTTACACATAATTAATTTCATAATAAAAAAATAAAAAAAACTAAAATTCAATATATTGTTTATAAAAATCGAATTATTTTAAAAGAAAAATATGATGTTATTTAGTATCTAGCGGATAATATTCAGCTAGAGTTGCAAACGACTTGTTTAGCATATTTACAAAAAAGGTTAAATTAAAATTTCCAAAAATATCTATGCATGGAGATTTTGCTCAGATATGCTAAAGGTTTGGCATTTTTGAAATTTCCAAATATAGGTAATAATCGTTTTTAAAAATCAGCCAAATCGAAATTTTAGCAACACTACATTAATAACCATAAACATTTTTATTTTAAATTATATTATTACCTTTTGGAGAATAAAAAAAACTAAATACACTTAATCATTAGTGAAAGTTAGTTGGTTTTTTTTGAATAGAAAATTAATTTTTTATGACGTGTTCAATCAATATAAATATCGTATCTGTTATCGGATCGAGTTTGCTGTAACATCGAGAAATATTGGAACGGAACGGTGAAAAATTTATGGATCGGCACAGCCCTAATTATAAGCAATATATTATAATATCTGGTGGGTGACATAATAGAATAATAAATCATTTTCATGAAAGAAAACCTTTTTCGTTTCGACTGACTAAAGATTTTATAGCGATTGAGGCCTCAACTTTAACTGGTAAACATGGATCCCTGAGTAACAATTCGATAAGCGAATTTAATATAGATATTAGATTATCGGTTTGTGAGGGGTCGTATTTGATTTTCTTAAATTGGTGTACCATCCAGCAAGCCTATTGTTATATATATTAAATAATTTTTTAATTATATGATGTAATAAAACTTTCATAAGGTGCCGAGAAGACTCAGGCACTAGAGGAAGTTCACTTAACATATTAAAATGTACTATTGTGATTTTATTTTTTAAAAAGATTTAAAATTTACCCTAGCTCTTAAATAACCCTTAGGATGGGTTAGAAGTGGACAAACAAAATTGACTAAAATATAAGTGATGTGAGAATAATCCTTCGATTCGTTCTTTTTTGCATTCTTAGTTGTATCCGATGAATGGCTAGCATTGGCTATAAGCGCATCGGCCAGTGTGCCTATATAATTCATTGAATATAATGTCGAAAATTAAAATATAAATATTAAAAGAATCAAGAAAAGTCTCAAAGCTAAATAGATTATGCATTTTAATTCCATTTAATGGGTCAAAGTTTGAAACCTGGATGAAAAGTGTTCTGATTTCGGTTCAAAATATTTTTAAAAAGTGATTCTGGTTCTGGTTCCAGTTCCTAAAATATAGGCGGGTTCTTAGTTCCTATGGTTCCAGGTTGGGGTTTAAAGCTCCGTTAAAGCATCAAAAAAATAAATAAACTTTTGAATGAAAACTCTTATTTATGTACATAAATTATTTGAACTTTTGTTAGAAACGGTTTTGGAAACGTTTCAGAAATTATAAAATGGGTTCTGGTTCTCATAAATTTTAAAAGAGGGTTCAACTTCTAAGTTCTGGTCATAAATGGATAGTTATAAATATAAAACATTTGTTATTAAGTAAACTAGTAATTATTTGAAATTAATGTTGAAAATGAAACACACAAAAAAGTAAAGTATATAAAAAATTAATAATTTTAAAAATTTAATATACTCAGATCAGATAAATAAATAGAACCTTAAGAATTAAAAATCATTTTTAGTATTATAATAATGATTTACTTTTTAAAAATTGGGATTTAAATAAGGTAAGATTATGGTTTGTGACCATAACCGTTGGCTTATTTAATTATATATTTTTGGAGGGATTTTATTAATTTACGATTAATTAATTTATTTTATATCTTTTTTTGTGGAAATTTTTAAAGATTCATAAGTGTTCTTTTAATTTTACTATTTATTTTTTCAATAAATTTTTTAAATTTTAATAATCTAAATTTTCATTATGAATTTTTAATATTTTTATAATCTTTTTATTAATGAGAATAAATACTTAAAATATTTTTTTAGTTTCTAAACCTTATTCTAATTGCGGTTCATTCATTACCAATGTTAGATATATCCCATAAAATTTATAAAAATGGTAACAGATCTAAAAATAGTTTAAGAACTCATATACAAACTATTTACAACATTGATATTATAAATTTGCAAGGCATCTCTATAATCCATATCTATTATAGTAATCCTCAAAAAACGTCAATCAAATTTAACCAATAGTGTTCTTTTAAAAAAAATATTTGTCCAATATAAATTATCAAGCAATTTCAAGCCAATAATAATTCCCATGCCATGTGATTTATAATATGGCAAATATGTTCGCATAATAACTATATCATCATTTCAGAGGTATGTGATGCTATATGGACAGTGGCGTAGCCAGGATCGATCCATAGGGGAGGGGTGGTTTTAAAAATATTTTTGAGTGTTTCCCCAAACCACATTTTAAAATTTAATATTTTGTGCTACTATAGTAGCCAGCATAAATGAAAAAAAAAATTAGTAATAAAATTTTGACCAAATTTATCATTAATTACGTGACTGAAAGCATTATTCTGAGAATTTTATCAATGTTTAGTCAATTGTAAATTAATTCAATCCATTCGGTGTAGAAAGAAGAAAAAAATCGCCCCCCATCCATAAACCTCCCATTTTTTATGATCACTCAATTTATTTATTGATAAAAATTATTATTTAATTTAATTTTTACATATAACAAAATTTTGCAGAGAATTTCATTAAAGATTTTATTTATTATTAAAATACTTTAGTAAATAACACCCTTTTATTTAACAATGTATTTATTTTAATGATAATATATCATAAAATAAATTCCAAAATGTAGAAATTTTATACAGATTATATTAAAAATTTATTCTAAATAACTATATTTAAAAAAAATAAAATTACAATAAAATATGAGTAATTCTTGTATGGTATTTAAAAAAATCTAATTTAATAAATACAAATGAGTATATTTATAAAACATAAATAATTTCTATTAGAGATCTGCAAAAGTAGAAAAATCGGATTCGGGCTGGGTCGGGCCTAATATTTTTAAAAAAAATTCAGGCCGGGTTGGGTCGGGCCTTGGAAATTTTTTAAAATATATCTAAATATATCAATTTTATGTTAAATTTTTTATGTAAAATAAAAATATTTGATTTTATTTATAAAAACTAGAAGCCATATAACATATATCTTATATTTTGAGTAATTATAATGAATTTCTATATATAAATAAATTCGGGCCAGGCCGTCAAAACTTTTTTAAAAAAATTTGGGGTTCGGGACTGCAAAAACTTTTTTAAAATAGGGCCGGGTTTGAAAAATTAGGCCCTATGCAGATCACTAATTTTTATTGCAAATGCAATATTTTTATTAAAAATAGTATAATAAATAAATATTATGACTAAGAATTCATTTTAATTACGTTTTGTATATAAAAACTTTATTACTAAAAACATATTAAAATATATTAATTTTATTGTATGAATTTATAAAGAGAGGTATACTTTTCTCTGAGATTTGACTAATTCATCTAGAATCAAATTTTTATCTAAAATAATGCCTTATAAATATTTAATATAGCGAATCTTTAAAAGGCTTTCACCGGTGCTATTTCTTAAATAGGTTTTTAACCTTTTCAAAGTTGTTAAAGACCTTTCATTAGTGCAGGTGCTAATCGGTAAGGTATCTAAAATAAAAGGCAATGTTTTGATATTAGACAGGGAATCTTAAGTGCAATGACACATGGAAAGGGCCTGCTAAGCATATTTTGGTCTCAAAGAGTACTCTATTCTGTCAAAATTTTTATACCAAAATTCGACAAAGTAATTTATCATACGATCCTGATAATTCAGCAAAATAAAACTCTGAGATTTTCTTAATATCCTCTAGCGTTTTAAGTGACTCAACCGGCAAAAGAAAATAAATGCTGTTTAAAATAAAATTGTGACAAATAAATATTTCCTTTAATTGAAATAAAAATGTATCAAAGGGAGTAAAAATATTTATTTTATAAAAATCCTCAATCGTAGATGCATCAATATTTAAGTGATTGGACTATCTATAAACTAATTTAGGTTTAAAATTTTTAATTCCAAACATATTAGCGATCACCTTTACTTTACATTTATCAAATTAAATGATTTTCCTTTATTTAAAAATCATAAAAAATTTTAAAACTATCTAATTAGTTTAACAATATAAATTTTATTATTAAATTAATAAATATCTAATTTAACTATGCCAGAAAAAATTTACAATATATTTTTATTATTATTTAATATTTTACCTATAATTTTTAATATATATTTTTAAACCATGTTATCATTTAAAATTCTTATTTGTTTTTTTAAATATATTTCATTTTCTTATCTATTTTATTTATAAATTGAAACATTAAAAAAAAAAATTTAAAACAAAAATTCTAAAAAAAAAAATTTCGGACCCCCCCCCCTTGTCTACGCCACTGTATATGGAAAACTTTAAAAGATATCTAGTTCCAACTAGAAAACATTCTGAGAAAGTATTAAATTTAGATTTTAATATATTTTGAAATTTCACAAGAATACTTTGAGAAATATGGATTTCCAAACTGCCTTGGCTCATTATAAAATTAAAAGCTTTTTACAATTATAGATACAATTGTTTGTTATAAGATGTGAAAATAAAATAATGATGGCACTTTCAGAAATAGTAGTTTATATCAAAGTAAATTTTTAATATTTAATAAATAATTTTTAATTAATTTAGAGTTAGAAAATCGAACATTTTTTATTCCTTCTCCTAAAATCTATGCATATCATAGATCCATATGAAATTATATGAAAAATATCAGTCCAGAAGAACAACAATGTGCATTGAATGCATTGAATACACACTAATATTATACATATTCCTGAATATTTAGGGATCAATAGAACTTTAAATGCATCAAGTATCAATTCAATAGGAATAAGAGATTTATTTAAATACTATTTTAATTCTTGAATTTATGTATAATTTAGAATTTAATACCATTATATTGGGGTTTCAGAAAAGATAAGAGAGATGCAAATATTTACTTATGCATAAAAATTACCTAATTGAAAGATATATAGTTGTATAAAATTCAAATATTTAGATTATGGAATTGATCCTTCCTTAAGGTCTTTTAATAAGTAAGGCACAAAGCACACCTTGGTAACATAAAACTCTCATCTAGCAGGAATAAATTTTTAGATTATAAATTACAAATACAAATGAATAACTCATATTCCTAAATATATACTTGATTAACATATTTTATAAAAATAATGGAAAATTTTAGAATAACCCCAAATAAATATAAATTTTTAAATAACACCTCATAAGATAGGAAAATTTTGTATATTTTCTCATAACTTCATAATTGTAGAATGTATGTTATTCATAACTTATTATAACATTTTTGATTAAATGTATAACCTTTTTGTTTTACTTATTTGATTATGATTGAAGTTAACCTCCTATTATTTGTTAACTAAGACATATCTTTTTATTTTTTCTATTGTAATTTAATCAGTCTTAAATTTAATTTTATATTTTGTAACTAAGTAATATATCATTTGGAAGGGTAGTGGTTTGTCTAAAATTTAAATTAAGATGAACATATTTTCTGCATAGTACTTTAATATGTATTCATGAATTTCATATAAATACCAGGAGCTAACCAGTAGAATGATAGGTTAATCAGTTATTTACCCTTCATTTGATGATAATTTTACATATAAAATGGCAAAAAATGCACATATTAGACAGATTTAATTCTTATAAACCCCTTAATCAGACCTATTTTTCTGGGTGAAAGGAATAAATAAATTATTTTGGGTTTTCCTGGACTTGGGAAATATTTTTCACCATTATTATGGACTTGGACATATCTTATGAAACATTTTTCATAATTATTATAGTCTTAGATTCCTGTAAATTTTTTAATTTTAAATATGGGCTAGAAATTGGCCTGAAAATTTCTTTTGAAGACATGGCAAGGCCTGATTAAAAACTAAGGCCCATGCAACTTTCATATTCTGATTGTATTTTTAAATGCATTGTGACTTTTTATATATATCTTATTTCAGTTCTCAACTATCAAAAGTCTTTGGCGAGTTTGAGAAAATTTTCCCAAGTGCGAGGAGCTGGCTTGGGAATTTTTTTAATATTAAGCATATGTGTAATATTTAATACAGAATATTTATATGGCCCTCAGGTAAAAGCTAATTTAAATATATTTTTATTCAAAAAAATAGTATTCACTCTTAGTCTTAATGGGTTGGCCTTGGTCGGGGTGAGCTGGGTTAAAATACAATAAAAAATAGATATGGTTTTTAGAGATTTATCGAAAAAAATTTGAAAATTACTATGGGTTGGCCAGGTTTGAGAAATTTTTTTTATAAAATTATAATGGGTTGGGCTGGGCTTGGAAAATATTTTTATATTGGGCTAGGCTTGGGGAAAATTTTTCAAAATTATTATTAACTTGGATGCTTGATAATTTTTTTATTATTAATTATGGGTCAGACATTGGCCTAAAACAATTTTTTTGCAGGCCTGGGCTTGACCTGATCGAAAAACCAAGGCCCATGAATATCTGATTTTGATTGTATTTTTAAATTCATTATGATTATTTAAATATTTTATTTCAGTTCTTAACTACCAAAATTATTATGATCTTTCATTGGGCTTGGAAGAATTTTTCAAAATTATTATGGCTTTGTACTTTGCCCGGGAATTTTTTTTAATATTAAATATTAGGTATAAGTGCTCAGTAATACTTAACAAATAATATTGGTATTATCAAGTTAAAACTTTAAATTTATTCTTACTCAAACCATAGTATTTACACTTAGTTTTAATGGATTGAACCCAGCCTGAAGAGGGAGTATAGGTCTGCAATGGGCGGGGTTTCGGTCAGCCCATCTAAGTGGGCGGGCTAATGGGCGGCTGAAAAATTTTTTGAGAATGGGCAGGTGGGCGGGTTAAAAAAATTTTAAACTATGGGCGGGCGGGCGGATTAAGGAAATTTAAAATTTTTGTTCAAAAACAAATTAAAGATATCCTAATTAATTATGATCAATAACAATATTTCTTTTTTTATTGTACCAATCGTTCTTTTAAGTGAAGAACACTTTACTAGTTTTTCGACATCTTTATCTAATTTTTTCCACCATATTATGATGCCTCGTAATGGATTTCATTGTTGTAATACCCGGATGCCCCGTATGCAATATATGCAAAACTCTTTTTTGAAGTGAGTACGGAATGATTAATCTGCCATTCCAAAATAAAATACCGTCATCATTTTCTATTTTCATCTATTCTTGTTCTAAAAGCTTGTAAATCTGGTATTTTGTATATTTGTACCATTTCTTTTCTTGATAGAGTTAATGTGTCCATAAGTAAGATTTCTTATATATTTCACTGTTTTATTTTCACTTGTTATTCTATCATCATTTTTCTCTATTGGGTTTCGCGATAAAGCATCTGCAATTATTTTATTAACTCCATTCTTGTACATTATATTATAGCTGATAATTTATAAACCCAACATAATAATCTTTGGTTTGTTAATGGCTTAAATCTATGTTATTACCATATATCTTTATTAAAGGTTTGTGGTCTGTTCAAATTTTAAATTTTCGTCCCAAATAGTTATGAGATTTTTCTACGCCGTTTATTATTGCTTTTGCTTCTTTGTCTATTGTAGAATAATTTTTTTCACCGTCTTGTAAAGTTCTTGAGGTGTAAGCTATTGGAAATTCGAACATATTTTTGCATAAATACAGCTCTAAATCCTTAGTTAGATGCATCTGTTTAATATTAACTCGAGGTCTGGTTTATAAAACTGTATAGTATTTTGTTCTCTATTCTGAATAGCATGAAACGATTACGAAAATAGCAAGGTATTTTATTTTGGAAAGGTAGATTAATCTTCGTACACACTTCAAAGAAGAGTTTTACATATATTTCATACGGAACATCCGGATCTCACTTGAGGAAGAGGATATACTTCAGACAGATATCCTACTTTGGTGGAAACGACAAGATATTTGCCAAAGCTATCAAGATTAGTAAGAAAAATATTGGCAATTATTGCAACTAGTGCTTCTTCTGAACGAGGATTTAGCATTGCTAGAAGGTTTTTAGAACAAAGAAGAACGTGTTTGAATTTAGAAAATGTTAATTCATTATTATTTTTGCATTTATCAATTTTATATTTATATTTATATCATAAATATTCTATTTGATCAGATAAATTGTTCATAATTTAAATTGAATATTTTTTTATGCTTAAATTAATTTCCTAAATTATAAACTTTTTGTAGAGGTGTAATGCTGAAATATTTTTATTAGATGCTTAAAAAATTAAAATTTCCTAAATTATAAACTTTTTGTAGAGGTGTAATGCTGAAATATTTTTATTAGATGCTTAAAAAATTAAAAGAATGACCATTATTAAATTTTATAAGTGGACTTGGGTTAAAATTTTTTATAAATAATGGGCGGGCGGGTAAAAAAATTTAGACAAATGGAATTTTTTTGAAAACTTTGGGCTGGTTGGGCAGCCGGGTTAAAAAAATTTTTAACATAGGGTGGGGGGCTTTTTGTCCAAAAACCCGCCCAATGCAGACCTCTAGGAGGGGGTAAAAATAATAAAAATTGGATATTATTTACAAATAACAGGTAACATCTATCATAAAAGTAAGAAAAAAATTCTCATTCCCCGTCATTTTTGACGGGCTATCTTCTAGTATTTTAAATAAAAAGTCAAGTATTTAATTGCTCAGATAAGTTTACAAGTAATAATATAAGTGGCCACTTAGAAAAAATCATATTTATTTTTAAAAAAATTATAATTCATAAAAGTATGCAATTTAAGCAAGAAAAACAATTGGAAAAGGTATCAAAGTGTAAATACTATGTCATCTACAACAATATTGGTATTATAAATCTACAAGGCATCTTTATAATCCGTAAAGATTTTTAACCCGATTTGCCTAAGCGTATATTTAAATTGTATACTGTCCATCTCATTTTTATATAGTTTCAAAGAATATTGAGAAAAATAACTGCTTAAAATTAAAAAAATCAAATTTTTTACAAAATATAAAAAAAATATTTGTAAAAATTAACAACCAACAATTTTCTATATTAAAAATAATCATACAACAAAAAAATATTTTAAAAAAAATATGCGTAAAAATTAATAACATAACCAATGGTTTTCGATAATAAAAATATCATTCAACAAAAAAAAATTTAAAAAATAAAAATAAATAAATCAACCAATCCTGATAAATATATAAATAAAAGATAACCAATGGTAATTATGACTCACAAACCATAATCTTATCATGAATTGCATAATTAAATGATTTCGAATAAAATAATTAAACCTATCATATTAAGGTATCCATCCATAGCCCTAAATTTATTTTCGCTTGAAGTATCAAGTGACAATGGATAGGAAGGATGAGGGGACGTAGATAAATCGGAAACGCAGTAGTTGACGGTTTGGTGAAGCATTCCCTGGCGTTTGGAACACAAAGCGAATAAAAAATCCTTAGCTGCTGTCACCGGAGATACAAAATCCTCGTATATATCTAAAAATGTATATTATATATCATTTAATGTCTAAATCTTAACTAATTAACTGTTTTAATTTCTTTACTGTGATACTAAGCAATGATTTTAAAAATACTGAATCCCACTTATGATTAAAATTATAGATACATGACTTCGATTTTTGCTATGGCTAATCAGAAGTGTTATTGTAGTTTATCTACGGCAGCGATTTGCTTGAAATATACATTTGTAAAAGGTTGAAATAAGCCTTAAGGGAGACCTAAAAAATATAAGTGGACTATAAATATGAAACCCGTGAAGATACAGATATGGGGCATATTGTCATGACCTTAAATCGTTACATCATAAATTTAAATAAAATCTTTATCATATGATTTTATCAGAAAGATAGATGACATTATATATCCTGCGTCGGAGCTGTTTTGGTTAAATAAACACGAGATGATCCGGTTAAAAAAATTTTTAAATAGGATAGAGTCATTCGGCCCAACAGGAATTTAGATGATAGGTTTGCAAAATAATTCAATAAGATAAAAACTATAAGCTTAAAAAATTACCGAATTTTGTTCGAATATATTCGATAGGATCATTTTCCCATAAAAATTCGTCTTCATCATCGTATTTCATTAATTTAAATATTATTTCACGAATTATGATCTAAATAAGAAATGCAATTTAAATTTAAACAAATAATAATTAGAAAAGGTCAAACGTCCGTTCCAGCTAATATTTTCATGACGAAACGAGGCTCTTTAAGGTTTTTTAGATGCCCCCGTCTGGCCGGAACGTTTAAAATTATAAATATTCTATAATATAATTAATTCGATAATTTACATCAACGTGAGGCTTCAATAACTTCCAACAATAAGATTGAATCAAACTAAAAAATAAAATTGAATATTATAAAAATATAAATCAAAATATAAAGTATCTCTGTCAATCCATTTAATAATCATATTTTTAATATAATATAAACAAACTTATATTTTAAAATTTGATCAATGAGATATAAGTGGAAATAATATCGGACGATTCCATATATAATATCGAAATGGATAAAAATGGAGTTTTTATTCGATGTAAGAGCAATTTAAAAATATGGGTCGGTTAGGATTATTGTTAAAAAGATAAAATAATTCTTATTAAGCAATTTATTAAATAAATGATTACCATTCCGACAGGTATGCAAAACAAAAGTTTATAACGCGAGGCGATACATAGTTCCCTTGCCGATAAAAGTCTAAAAATTTTAAGATGGTTTCGAGTAATGGAGCTATTAAAAAATAAGTCATTTAATCCATTTGTAAATTACTTCAGGTAAAAAAAATAATATTGGAAGTGGTAGAGTGAAGCAAATGTCTGCAACGGACAGGTTTTTAGCCCATCTATACCATGAGGGGACGGATTTTTAGCCAATCTATACTATGAGAGGAAGGGTTAAAAACATTGAACATATGAGTGGGCGGTTTACCATGAATCTGAAATATTTTTAGAACGAAATTAGCAGAACGGGCTAATATTTATTAAAAATATTCTTTTATTTCATCATAATTATTATAGTTTTGAATAAAAATACAATAAATAAAAGACAAACCTACCAATCAAACAATTTTAAAACATTGGACGGGCAGGTTAAACAAATTTTTAGATAAATGGACGGGCGAGTTAAATTGTTATAAATAATGGACGGGGCCCGAACACTTTGGTTAAACTTTCTTTGAAATCACTTGGCAAAATGATAAAACTTTAATTTTAGCATAAATTAAAAATAAAAGAAAGACTTATTTATTATTCCAAATTCAATAGATTATATAGCATTTCTTGAAACATTGATATAATCTGCCAACTAATTTGGAAATTATTTAATCGAAAAATTAAATAATTTGATACATCATTCTTATAGTTTCAATTTCTATTTCAATACTTATTAAAATCCAATTTATATGTTGAAGAATTCTCAGTTATTAATGACCTTTCAGAAATTGTGCATTTATAGAGCAAAACCATGCACAAGGATACCATTGGTTCAATAATCAGGTCACTATACACCTTTTATGATTTATAACCGTTAAGATGGCTTAATTAAACAAATAAATTTTGTTGTTAAATCTGATTGTTTAAAGAACAACGCATGTGCATTTTATTTATTTCAAACAATTGATCTTATCTTTAAAAAAAGATTTGGCAAAGTAATCAAAATTATTCTGATGGGGCATACCCAATATAAAAATACAAAAACGTTTATTAACCTCTACAATCATTAAAATGATTTTGGGATAAAGGCATCTATCTCATTTATATAATTTTTAAATAAAAATTTACATAAGTATCCATTAAATTTAAACCATTAAACTTAAATATGATGATATTTAAGTTAAATTTGATCAATTCTAGCTACATATAAGGTCATAACTCCTAGACCCATGTTCATCCAAAAAAATTAAAAAATTTGAAAAAATATTTTTTTTCTATGACCATTTCCGTTAATCGAGTTTCTATCAAATTTATGTAGTGCTGTAAACATTTTTTAAAAAATCGAACGCGTTCGAGTTCAACGTTCATTGACAAAAATCCGCGTTCACGTTCATGTTCAAAGAAAAGGAACGCGTTCACGTTAATAAAACCGTTTAAAATTTTATGATTTTTTTTTAAATTTAATTAAATATAATAAACTTATATTTTTTAATACAATATATTTTAGCCATGTTAAAATATAATAGTTTTATTTTGATAATATAATTATAAATAAAATATAATATAATATAATATAGCGAATAAAAAGATATTTTATTTATAAAAATTTTTCTTATTAAATTTTAATAACAATTGTTTTCAAAATATTTATCTGATAGACAGGAACCATTGGCAGTTAATATGGCATTATATATACTAAAAACGCGCTCTACAGAGGAAGATGAGGGGATTGCGGTATTATACTTAATAAACAGCCTTTTAACGAGGAAAATTAATTTAAAAATATTGTTTTGTTATTTGCAAAAAATTGAGATAAGTTATCCTCCTCCAATCCATTCTCTACACTTGACAAAAAATAAGAATATCTCGAAATTAAGAGTTCTCTAGGGTTTTCAAAGCATTTTTTTTAATAACGCTATAAGTCTATTTTTAATAGGTTCGTTCTGTAGAAGTTTAATCCATGGCCATTAAAGTTTGAATGCTGGATGTATAATTGCAGAAAGAACATATTGAACCTTATATATATGTTCAAATCTTTAAAAAAATAAAATATATGTAATTAATTGAGAGTGATAGGTTTAATACCTGTTATTAATCCTATTTAATATATCAATAGTTGGCCATATTTGAGGTCACTAATTTTTTTAATATTAAAATAACTATCATTATTGTTGGGGTCAAATATCCCAAATGCATTATTTTTTCAAATTTAATGATTTAACTAAGTTATATCATATAAAATCAAATAAGATGTTAATGAGAAAGAAAGAAAGAAAGAAAGAACAATTATCATATTTGGTCATAGTAATGATAAATTTTCAGAATCAGATGATGAGGATTAAATAATAATATCCATGCTTATGCTAATCTATTAAATTAAAATATAAACAATAATATTCAAGTTAATAAACTATGTGTTAAAAAAATTGAAATGTGAAAAGGAAATACACAGCCGATTAAAAAATATAAATAATACATTTTATAAAAAAATTCGGAAATATTAAATTTTTCAAATAAATAAAAATAATATTTTTAAAATTGAACGAACGTTAAATTCGAACGCGTTCGTCATAAAAAAGGAACGCGTTCGTCATAAAAGGAACGCGTTCGTCATAAAAAAGGAACGCGTTCACGTTCAAAGTTCGTCAAAAATAAAAGGAACGCCGTTCATTGTTTTTTTCAAAAAAACGAAAACTACATAATAAAATTTAAATTATTGCTCTAACTTAATTTATTCTTGAGATATTTGAAAATTAATGAAGTGCATTTTGTCAAAAATGTACAATTTTTCCACTCTTTAAACGCCTATATCTTAGCGAGTAAGTGGCGTATGAAATTTCATTTTTTTTCTTAGTTATAGTATATACAACCAATATAAAAAATATTTAAATAAATTTGAAAGGGTCGGGTTGAAATCTTGGTTAATTTGATAAGGAATTCACTATATATAGATTCTGAGATGTTTATAAATTAGTTATTTCTTAAACCATATTATAATTATCTTCATCTGATAGGTGCATTGGGAAAATCCCATTTATCTGATGTACCAGAAATATTTACAAAAATTTTGCTGTCTAGATTTCCATTTTGTTGAAAATTTTTTAGACCCGTGTTACTTTACCCTCTAAATAAATATTGGAGCATAGAAGGTTTTTTAAAATTTCGTTTTTTTGCGCCCCAGCCAGAATTTATAATTTTTTGTGTCCGAACCCATCCAAGGCCAATTTTATGTTCCAGCCAGACTAAAAAAATTTGAAATTTGCACCCTTTTTATTAAATATAAGTAGGGATTTCCTCCATAATTCAGATTTTCCATTTGTATTTTATTTAGTCTCAACTTCTTGAATTCTAATCTTACCAGAAATTGTTTATAAATTTGGATCCTAGATCTTAGATAAAACAAAAATTACCAATGAAAATATTCTTAACTATTATAATTTGATTAATATTCAAGATTTTATGTTGGCAAATGTAGAATATAATATATATTAATAAATTTGATAGAATATGATGTATGTAAGTATTCGAGTTTTAACTAGTAACAATACAAATCAGAATCAGTAGAAACTAATTTGGGAAAATGGAAATTATGTAAATGAATAAATGAAATATGATTATGATTGACATTTTGATGAAACAAAATGATAATTGAGGATATTTCTAATATTTAATTTTCAGACTTAGGGTCAAAAATATTTGTGCAGCCTCAGAAAAAATTTGGTCTACTTTTGGAAAAACACAAACAAAGATAATAAATAAATCGACTATACTCTGAAATAGTGAGAAAATTTAATCAACAACTGCGTGATAAAATTCTCGCAGATTCCAATACAATGGGAACAATCAATAAAGAGCTATATTATATTAATTGTATTATAATAATATATATAAATAAAAAACTTTTTCTTTATTTTCCCGCTTATTTCTAGGGAATTTCCCCAAGAATTAATTTCCATAGAATTTCACATCATTAGTTATATCCCACATAATCTTTTACGGGTTAAAAAAAATAAGATTTATATTATGGCCACCATAAATATTTAAGGTTATCATTAAGAGAATGAGAAAATTTAATTATTAAAAAAATTCAAATGGATAAATTATAATTCGTATATTTTATTATTCATATTTTAAAAAATTAAATGTAAACTTGTAAAAGTAATCATATAATAGTGTGCGAAATCCTTGTATTCTTTGCTAACAATGGCAGGAGTCCCATATCTATTTATTAAAAAAATATATAATAAATAATCGAATATATTAATTTCAAAAGTGTAACTAGATATATAAGAAAATTTCACCCAATCATGAATATTTCGATGAAAAATAATCAAATAATTATTTTATCGGTATAGCCTTAAAAAAGATATATCTCAAATTGTGCATATTCAAACCTAAAATTATGTATTCTCACAACATTTATGATATACTAATCTAAAAAAAATATTTAAGTTTAACAGTTATTGCATGATTTTTTTCTAAGGTACCCATTTCCCTTCAATATTTTTTAATTACCAATTTAATCCACAAAATGTCTTTCAATCATGATATTTTAATTTATTTTTCCCAAAAAAATCAAATATAAAAAATGACATCATATATTGGGTAAAATTTTATTATAAATATTATATTTGGTTCTTTATAATAAAAATTTAAGCAATTATATCGCAAGGATTTTGTTATATTCATAATTCTTCCAAAAATATATATTGCTCTGAGTATACTTTTTTTTTCAAATTAAAAAAAGTCACACATGGAGTTGGGTTACTTTAAATTCAATTAAATGCAAATAATCAAAAAAGAATCGATAAATTTAAATGAAATATTAAAAAATTGGGCTAAAATATTCACCCATTTCTTTTATTAATATTTTAAAAAAGCTTGAAGTCATTTTGACCCCCATCTTATTAAAATAAAAAATAACTGATTTTATTATATGATTTTGATTGGTCATTATAACCTTTCACATATCCTGCACAAAATATGTAGTATCCATTTTTTACATTTCCACCATACGCTACTGGCTCTTTCATCTTCTTCCAAATCATTTACATGCTTTTTAAATGTATTAATAATATTATTAATAACTCAACGTAATTAATGTTCGGCTACCTTAATTTTCTAATCTTTAACTTTAAAAAAATAGGTATGAAACAAATTTTATTTTCAATTTTTCCAGTTTTATTAAATATAAATATAATTAACATAATTTATAAAAATTATTAAAGAGTATATCTAAAACGAGTTATTCGTTATTAAATATTGAATTGAATATGAATAACGAAAACATATTATATGTAATAATTTTTTATCCATTATACGATCGAATCATTTGAAATTATTAGTAAAATTTGATTTATCTGTATTACACAAAATTTATAGTATATATATATCCGATATTCTTAAAATTATTTGTATCTAAAATGTTCCGTACGGAATATTTTATTTTATTTCTATATACATTCATAAATTACTTTTTAAATTTTAATAATCTAATTTTTCCAGGGTTTGAAAAAAAAAATCTCTTGAATTTTTTTAAAGAAATTTATCTAAAATTTTAAATATATTTAGTAAAAAAATCTTTTATAAGTTAAACCTTTCATAATTTTCATGCACAAGAACTTTCTAAATGAAATCACAAATTTAAAAAAAAAAATATTCAAAGATTAATTCAAAAATTTTTAACATCCTCTAATTTTCTCATTTTTGAAAATATATTTAAGGAATTTAATTTTCGAATAGAATATTTGATGAATCAAATCGAATAATGTTTTTAAATATTCATAAGCAGCCACATGTTTTAAAATTGAGTTGCGTCACCTTATATTTAATAATTGCCATTGACAATATTCTTAGATATAGAACTAGTTAATAGTTCTCTTGATTATAATATTAACTCTTTTAATTTTTAAAAAGGTATCATCATCAAATTCGTGGAACAAAGGAATGATTTGATAAATTTTAATTATATTTTTTATGTATTAATTATTTTATCGAAGTTATATAAAAGATTATAGTTTTATCATATTTTTATCGAAATAAATGGATACAAAATTAAAAAAAAGATTGAAATTCGATTCAAATAAAGACTTTTTATAAAAAATGATTTAGAATTTTAGATGAATATTAATCAAAAATCTTACATGAGCATTCTCAAAAAAGATTTTAAAAAAATTTCCATTTTTCATCACAAATTATATATTTACAACATAATTTCTTTTTATTATTTAAATATGACGATTATTTTTAATTAATTGCTAGTCTATATTTAACTACAATATATATCAGAGACCTGCAGGCCCGGCCCTAGACCCGGCCCGGGCAGGGCCGGGCCGTATTTTAAATTTTCTAAATATACCAGGGCCGGGCCGGGCCTAAAAAAATTTTTTTTAAACATATCCGGGCCGGGCCTAAAAAATTTTTTTTTAAATATATCCGGGCCGGGCCTAAAAAAATTTTTTTTAAATATATCCGGGCCGGGCCGGGCTTAAGATTGTTAAACCCGGGCCGGGCCGGGTTTTAATATTTTTAATAAAAATTTTTACATTATGAGTTAATGGTTATAAGATTATATTATATTATAGTTATGATTAATATAATATTGGGTGATGGTTAACACTACCTAACAACCCAAAGATCGATCTAATTATTAATTTCCTGCAAATTTATTCAAAGTATTAATATATTTTTTATAATTCATATCTAAATTTTTACAACATATTTTACCAAAACAATCAAATAAAGGAATATTTTAAATAAGCCCCAATATTCAAGTATTATTAATATATTTTTTTATAATTCATATCTAAATTTTTAGAATATATTTTACCAAAACAATCAAATAAAGGATTATCACTTCTTAAAGTTTGTAATTGATTTTACTTAATATAAAGCATTTTTTAATTGAAAAATTTGTTTTACACAAGTATCATTTTATTTCTCTTTTTCTCTGTCCCAAATTCAAGCAATTACGTATGTAGTCAGGGACAGATCGCAAAATGACGGAAAACTATATAAAAAATTATATTAAATTACAAGAGGCTCAGGAAGTAAATGAAATACCATCGACCAGTCAAATTACGACTGTTGTTAAACAAACTGAATCGTTTTATGACAAATGGGGCGATGGTAATTCTGGTAATATGTCAATACCCGATGATGAATATTATAATTACATAAATAATAGACAAAACATTTAAGGTGGATAATTTGTTAAAGTGGTGGGCGGCTCATCAAAGCGAATTTCCAATTTTAGCAAAATTGGCAATTCCTGCTTTAAGTGCAAGCTGTGAGCGGAATTTTTCCACTACTGGGAGAATTCTTGAAGAAAGAAGAAGTAATCTTCAACCTGAAAAGGTAGATATGCTTCTCTTTCTTCATGATAATTTGTGAATTTTTAATATCTTTCTTGAGTATAGGGTTTCGTCAATCATGCTGGTTTTTTACTTTGCAAACTGTCAAATATTTATTGCATTTATTATATTTACCTTGAGTCATGAAAGTTTTTAATCCAACATTTTTCATTATTTTTTTTTACAATATTATATAATACAATTATCTTCTTTTGTTAAAAATTTATATTATAAAATAAATTATATTAATATTGTGCAATTAGATTATATTTTCAAAATACTATTTATTATACATGCATTTTTTTAAATAGCGATTTATTTTTATTTTATAAATTAAATAGTAAATTAAATACATTATATTATATTCTCAAAATATTTTCCATTTTTATAAATTAAATATTAGTTTTATTTTTTTTAAATGTAATATAAAATATAGTATATGACAAATATTATTACCATTTTTATGAATATTAGTTTTATTTTTATAAATGCAATATAAAATATAGTATATGCTCAAAATATCCATTTTTATAAATAACAGTTTTATAATTTTTATAAATTCAATATAATATTCTCAAAATATTAGCTTTTTACATGCATTTTTTAAATAATAAGCGATAATACTCGCTGAAAAATATGGTAAAATACCTCATAGGTGAATTTTTGTATATACCAGGTCGAATATAATTTTAAAAAATTCCGAGCTGGGCCTGAAATTTTTTTTTAAAAAATATCCGGGCCGGGCCTTAAATTTTTAAATCCGGGCCGGGCCGTTAAAAATTTTTTTAAAAAATATCCGGGCCGGGCCTTAAATTTTTAAATCCGGGCCAGGCCGGGCCGTAAAAAATTTTTTTTTAAATATCCGGGCCGGGCCTAAAAAATTTAAAACCGGGCCGGGCCGTGCAAATGGTACCTCTGCAGGTCTCTGATATATATTAAATTAAAATAAAATCTTATTTTGTTTACTCCCTTTTATTGTATATTTAATGACACTCGTTTCACTGTAAGAACCTTTTCCTCTTTTAAGGAATCTCAAATTAATCAAAGAAAATTGGTACAAAGTAACAAATTATATATAATTTTGTAAATCTCAAAATTCTTCTGAAGAAAATACAAAAATTATTTTAAAAATATCTTTAGTGTAGTTATATTTCGAAAAAATATATATATTTTGAGAAGGACCTAATTTGAAACGACGAAACTTGATAAATATGTTTATTACTAATATTATAAATTTAAATAAAAATATTAATTTAGAAAATAAAATTTTATTTAGTTTATTATCATTTTAGGAATAGAAAAGTTAATTATAAAGGGCATTTAAAACGATGAAACCATCAAATATGCTTATACCAAAACCATTATATTTAAATATTTAAGTAAAAATATTAACGGATAAAATAAGAATTTAAATTTTATCAATTTTTACAAATTTAGAAATAAATAAATCATAGAGGGCGTTATTTTAAAAGATATTTATAATTATAATTAGCAATGTACAGATATTTTTTATCGGATCGGGCCGATATTTCACCCATTTAAAAATATCGGTTATCGGTCAATATTATAAAATTTCCCGATCCGATCCGATATAAAATGGCGCCTTTAACAAAAATAAAATGTTATAAAATTTTTAAAAAAAGTTATATCTAAAATCATTTATTTTTATAAATAAATCGAAATCCATTTTTATGTATATTTTTTTAAATAATAATTAATTAATAAACATTCTGCCATATTGTTATTCTTTGGGCATTCTGTCTATAAAAGTGTGCGATAATCTCTTCAGAATCTATTTTTAGTGAAGCTGGTGATATCGACAGTTACCATCGCCTCAGGCTGACCTATGATAAATTGGAAATTTTGGTATTTCTAAAAAGAAATCTTAGATATATTGTTAAATATTATTTTAAATATTTATTTCAAATTTCATAATATATTTGATTATTTAAGTATATAGATTAATGTTATTACTTATTATATAAAAGTGATATAACAATAAAAATATTTTATTTACTTTTAGAATTGCAATTGAATTGAATATAAACTATAACTGATCATTATAATATATTTAAATGTTATGGTATTAAATTATAGAGGTTATACTAATAAAAAGTATATTAAAAATTAAAACCATTGGTATGTTTACATAATACAAAATTAGATAGGATATCGGATGGGTAATCGGCCGATATCAATTTAATATCGGGAATATCGTATAGGCCTCAGTGGTATCGGTACACCCCTAATTATAATGTATTTTATAAATAAAAATATGCATTTTATATTATAAATAACAATTAATTATTTTATAAAATTATTATATACACTAAAATTTTTCCAAAAATACATTTTTTTGTACCATAATAAGATGAAAATAAATTATCTTAATAGAGAGTGACCTCTATAATTGATTTTTCCTAAAATTATAAAAAATTAATAAAATTTAGATCCTTATTTTTTCCAGATTTTGACTTAAATATTTAAATATGGTATAAACATATTTGATGAGTTTCATTATTTTAAACGTTCTTTATAATTGATCTTTCAATTAAAATTATAAAAAAACTAAATATTCTTATTTTTTTTCATATATATTTTTACTTAAATATATAATATTGATAATAAACACATTTCCTGAGTTTCATCGTTTTAAATGGGCCACTTTTCAAAATATTTTTTTTATCGGAAATACAGAATACT